ATTTTCTTTTATAAATTTAAATTTAACATATATAATTCAAATATATGCAAATTAATGATTTTCAAGTTATCTGTCATAAACCAAGAAAAAGGCTTGTATGATGTAGGGAAAGGAGACATGACAGTAATTGCAGCTGTCAGCTGCTATGCACAGGGAGCCCAAAGGCTGACATGACATCATAGAAGTTAGAGTTGTCGCATAAAATGATGAGTAACCACTTTTTGTTAGCTTCTTTGTGCCTGGCACTGTGCGATGGGCTTTCTTTATAATATGCCTGATTCTCACTGCAACCCATGAATTAGGCATCATTATCTCCATTTAGCTGCAGAGACTGAGGATCAGGGAAATTGAGTACATCAACCAAAGTCAATGTGGTTCATACGTGATTTAGCCAGGATTTTTATCTAGTGATGTCTTCTTCCATAGCCTGTATGGTCTCCGAAAGACAGTAGGCAGTGTAAGAGGAAAAAAAGTGGAAAGATAGAAAGAAACAGGGGGATAGACAGCAGATAGACAGACAGTCAGACAGTCTTCCCTACCTCTATGTCTACTAATCTCGCCATGAAGTTCCCACATTCATTTTGCTTCTTGAACCTCAGAAAGAGAAAAGGCACTAGGAAATCCCCTGAAACAGCACATTTGAGAGTTCCATCGTGGGAGGATGAATACTCAGAGAAAATATGACCTAAGTCTATCAAGTAATAAAGGATAGAAGTACAAATGCTTTCAGTGTTTTTATGCCCCTGCTATGTATCAGGTCTGTACCAGAAACTTGTACATGTTATTTTCATGGAATCATCATCAAACCTCTCTTATATTACCCCCAGTCAACAGTGAGGAATCTGGAGCTTTGGAAGAGTTTATTACCTTGCCCCTTCCCCAAATCAAACATCCAGAAAACAACAAAGCAGAAATGTAAACTATGGAGACTCCTTTTACTTCACCAAGGGCTAGGCTTAAAAAACAAAATACACGAATGTGTAGTGTGTTATTCCTAAAAGGAAGCACTGGATAAAAGTGGGTTCCAGAATAATTTATATTAATTCATAGGCCAGAAGCCCATGCTGAGTTATTAAATGAGGTTAAGAAATCCAGGCATATTCATAATCTTCTAAGTTTAACTTCTTATAAAATCAGGGAAATGATACAATTTCATCCTAAAATATTATAGGAGAAGGATAAAATTCTGCTGTGAACTCTCCTTTGGTGCTTTTGTAAACTATAATACTAGGTCAGTAAGCTCAGGTCTACTCTGGAAGACAATTCTTGCAGAAATAAGACTGTTCAGCCAGAAGTGTGAGAACCAGGCTCTAGTCCATTTCTGCTGCTTAAAGACCATGGTGAGATCCAAGTCTAATTAGTGACATCTCTGGACCTCACATGAAGGCCTAGAATATTTGACCTTTAAGCTCCATTCCAGTTCAGCATTCGATGGAATCCTCAAAACCTGAAAGGGGCTGACTGGTCTAGCTCTCACATCTCCCATTCCACATCCACCCTTCAGAGGTGCTTCCACTGACTGTTGAAATGGCCAATTTAAAAACATCATGATTGCAGATAATTTTAATTATTCTTCACAGCAAAAAAAATCAAATCCCAGATCTGCATCTCCAGCCCAGCGAGGCTCTCAGCCACATCCAGATGTCCTGGGCCACCAGCCAGCCATGACTCTGTGGGTGCTCCATGGAGTCTTATCCAATTAAAAAAGTGAATCTGCCGGAACAATAACAATAGCAGCAATGAATGTCAAAGCTAAGGAGAAATTATTTTTAGATTTGCTATCTTAGATTATCTGCATTGCTGCTCACATCCACATGTCCTCAAGAAAAATGTCAACAAAGAGGAATCTGAGGACAGAAATGCTTAGAGACTGTGGGTAATTTCCAATCTGTAGAAGGTAGAAGATATGAAAAGAAGGGTAACATGTGTCTCATGAGGGAAGGATGTTTGAGAAGAGGTATAAATAAGATGACTATATAGTGGATAAGACCATGGGCTACTGGGGGCTAGATTACTTGGGTATAAATCTGGCTATACCATTAATTAGCTACATGATGTTTAATTTCCTTAGGCCTCAATGTCCTCATCTATAACATGGGTATGGAGAGAGTCCACTTACCTAACTGCACTGTTCACTAAGAATAAGTAAATTAAATTTGCAAAGTCCTTGTGGGCATTGCCTGGCACTCTCTTAAATGTTAGCTGTTATAGCTGATGTTATTCATCACTCGGAAGAGTGAGAACATCTGCCCTCTCCCTGGGGGAGGAAGGTGGCTTAGGCAGGCCTTGTGGTGTTTTCTTCTCCCACTTTAGCTTCTCCTGCAAGGGTGGAGTTGGATTTGAATCACTGAAGCTTTGGAAAGTATTTGTTCTCCCTCCCTCACCCAGAGAAAAGACACTTGAACACGCATTCCTAGAATTTGTGACAATTCCTCCTAAAAACTCTAAGAGCAGAAACACCCCTTAGTCTCTTTCCCATTTAGTTAGCCCCTTTGACATACTTTACAGCACCTTGATTTTTAAAATTTTATTGCGTAACTGACAAATAATAATTGCACATATTTATGGGGAACTTACTGATGTTTTGATACACATGGCGTATAGTGATATTGTGTATCCATCATCTCAAGCATGTATCATTTCTTTGTGTTGCCAACATTCAATATCCTCCTTCTGGCTATTTGAAACTACACTAAATTGTTAATCACAGTCACCCTCCAATGCTATAGAACATAAGAAATTCTATCTAGCTGTAATTTTGTATCCTTTAACAAAGGATCTGTCTCCAGCCCCTTTCCCCTACCATTCCTAGCCTCTACTGCCCTCTGTTCTGCTTTTTACTTCTTATGAGATCAACTTGTTTTAACTTCCACATTGTTTTTAAAACATGGCATACCTTGAGCTGCTAAATATAAGTGCCATCAACGGGCCTTGTCATCTACATTTCTGTGAGGTAAGAACTTGGAGGAAGAACTGGAATGTTTCCATTTTTTTCTTCTGCATTCTCCTGCCCTACCATGCTTCTCTAAGGAGATGAAGAGGAAACAGTAGAGGACAGAGCAGAGGTGGAGAGAAGAGAGCTGTCCTGGCGCTTCAGGAATCCTCCAAGACAGCCAGGCCTCTCTCAAGTGTTCACAGCAAACATTACAGCAATTGTCAAAGAGGAGGCAGTCAACACAGGTTTGTTACATTTACTCAGTAACTTGAAGGGTGGCCAAAACTGAAAAGTAAATGACCTAAAACAGATGGGAAATGAATTCACCTCCCTCAGACCTACCCAAAACCCAACCCTACTCTTCCATTAAAAGACTGAAAACATCCATTTGAAGTGCTCCCCTCAGAGAGGATGAGGAAGAGCACAGGGTGACAGTAACAAAAACCCTTAGAATTCTACTCTCCAAAAAAAGTATTTTGCCAGGCACAGTGGCTCACACCTGTAATCCCAGCACTTTAGGAGGCCAAGGCAGATGGATTGCTTGAGCTCAGTAGCTTGAGACCAGTCTGGGCAACAGGGCAAAACCCCATCATGTTAGCTGGGCATGGTGGCGTGCACCTGTAGGCCCAGCTACTCAGGAGGCTGAGGTGGGAAGATTTCTTTAGCCTGGGGGGGTCGAGGCTGCAGTGAGCCATTATGGTTCCATTGCACACTCCAGCCTGGGCAATAGTCTGAGACCTTGTCTGAAAAAAAGAAAAAAAAAAAAAAAAAAAATATATATATATATATATATATATATATATATATATATATATATTAGCTAGCAAAAGCCCAACTCTTTGCATTCCTTCCAGCTCTTTCATCTGATTTTCCTGTTACCCTTTGACCCAGCTTTATTGCTCTTTTACTCTAGGGCACAACAGCTATGAACAAATTCCACTTCCATTCATTATTAACCATGATTTTAAGAGCAAATACTTGAGCTTACACTTAAAGTTAAAAATTAATAAAAAGAGATCTCATTGATATCTATTGGAAAAATCAAACCTCCTCCCCCAGCTTGCATGGCCTCAAATCTCTTTCCACCTCCTGTTTCTTCCATCCCAGAGGATTATGGTAAATGCAGCTGACCTGCAGACTGTCAGTGTTTTCTAAATGTTACTTGCAAATGAGTCACCGTATAATGCTTAGAATGAAACTGTGTTCTGATGGCAAATTTGGAATGTACTGCTAACTGAAAGTCAAGTTAGAACAAATACACGTCACCTCTTCTCATGTTGACAAATCATTAATAAGAATGTTAGGGACATGTCATTCCTGATGCACCCAGGGAAGACCGCCCACAACGCATGCTCTGCTGCCTTAGTGCCTGTCCCAGAGCCTGACACAGATCTGGGTCTCCACTTAAAACTAAATAGATATGGATTGTCTTGCCCTGAGTGACCTTCTTACAGGACCTGGGTCATTGAAAGTTCTGGATTCAGCCTCAGAATGCAGAGTCTGTTCCTAACTTCCTGTGAGCAATAAGTCCTTCAACAATCCCCTTTCCCACCACCCAAACTTTATTTTCCTCCTGAAAATTATGAAGTTACATGAGATGCTCCCTAAGGCCCTCATCTGCATTATGTTTTTGTGATTCTATGATATACCACAGAAGGCAACTTAGAAATGGCAGAATAGGGCAGGCAGGAGGAAGCAGAAGGGAACTAAAGACATTTCCCACCGTGGAGTCTCAGGCTGCAGCAAACACAATACTCACAGCCCTGTAGGACCCACAAAATAATAACTGGACTACAGAGGCACATGAATTCTTTGTAAATGGAAGTGAGGAGTGATGACTGCAAGGAAAGGAGCTAAAATCCAGGCTTCTTTGGAAACAGCACATTGAGACAGCAGCTGTAGGAATTCTCATCCAGGAGGCAGCAAAAACTGCACTCTTTTTCTGCACAAGTCAGTAAGACTTCCTTGTGAGGAGGGGTGGGGTGGCCGGCTGGGAATGAACCCGTGAACGGTTGTGATCCCTCTGCAGTCAGCATTCCTGGTCCACCCTCTATCTTCTACCTGACTCTTCCTCCACTCTTCCTCCACTTGCAGGGCCAGAGCCTGCATACCCGACAAGCTCTTCCCTCCTGTGCCTCTCTCCCACAGGTGCCTCTGGGCGGACCCCTGCATGGACAGCCCCAGCAATGCCACCATGCCCTGCGGCTTTCTCCTTCAAGGCTTCTCCGAGTTCCCGCACCTGAGGCCCCTGCTCTTCCTTTTGCTGCTGGGGGTGCACCTGGCCACCCTAAGTGGGAACCTGCTCATCCTGGTGGCCGTGGCCTCAATGCCCAGCCGGCAGCCCATGCTGCTCTTCCTGTGCCAACTGTCAGCCATCGAGCTCTGCTACACCGTGGTAGTGGTGCCTCGCTCCTTGGCCGACCTGAGCACACCGGGCCACGGTAGGGGCAGCCCCATCTCCTTCCTGGGCTGCGCCTTTCAGATGCAGATGTTTGTGGCTCTGGGAGGGGCCGAGTGCTTCCTGCTGGCTGCCATGGCCTATGACCGCTACGTGGCCATTTGCCACCCGCTGCGCTATGCCGCCGTCGTGACCCCAGGGCTGTGCGCGCGGCTGGCCCTGGCCTGCTGCCTCGGGGGACTGGCGGTGTCCGTGGGGCTCACGGTGGCAATCTTCCACCTGCCTTTCTGCGGCTCTCGCCTGCTGGTGCACTTCTTCTGCGACATCACGGCGCTGCTGCACCTGGCCTGCACCCGCAGCTATGCCGACGAGCTGCCCCTGCTGGGCGCCTGCCTGGTGCTGCTGCTGCTGCCGTCGGTGCTCATCCTGGCCTCCTACGGTGCCATCGCCGCCGCCCTGCACCGCCTGCGCTGCCCCGGGGGCCGGGGCAAGGCCGCCTCCACCTGTGCCTCGCACCTGGCAGTCACCTTCCTGCACTACGGCTGCGCCACCTTCATGTACGTGAGGCCCAGGGCCAGCTACTCCCCGCGGCTGGACCGCACACTGGCGCTGGTCTACACCAACGTCACGCCGCTGCTGTACCCGCTCATCTACAGCCTGCGCAACCGCGAGATCACCGCCGCCCTGAGCAGGGTGCTGGGGCGCCGGCGGCCAGGCCAAGCCCCAGAGGGGGATCTGCGCGAGCTCTGATGGCAAGCCGGGGCCAGGCAGAGGGGGCAGCTCCGCTCCGCAGTTTTCCCCATCGTGAAGTGTCTGCATGGGGAAAGCCACCAAGGGGACTCAATGACGGCCTTCAGGAAAGGGAACTCAGAAATGTCACAAGGACAGCCATCCAGCGGTTGTCCCATCCTCCACTCCTCCCTTGAATGGCCAAGACACTGTGGTGTAGAGCCCTAGACCTACGTTTATTGGCTCCCTAAATGCTTCTTGAGTTTCTTCCCGTGTGTTGGAGCCCGTGCAAGCTGTGGAGCTGGCAGTAATAAAGAAGGCACAGCTGGTGACCTCATGACGCTCCTAGACCTATAGGTGGGAAGGCCAGACGTGAGGATTAAACCAGAGATGGGTGGAGTGGCTCATAAGACGGGTTACCCATGCTAGACTTTTTGAGGGCTGAGGGGAGTCAGGGAAAGTGTTTTGGAGAGAAAGACAGCTAGACAGAGAACTGTAAGATAAGTAAGGGTTAACCAGGTGAAGAGAACAATGCAGAATGCTCCAAGCAAAAGTGCTTCACAGGGGCTGGAGCATGTTGGGAAGGACCTTGGAAACAGATGGGGAGTCTGAATTCAGGGAGGGGTGTGATGGCCACCACCATTGCATGGTTACTCAGCCTGCAGGGTGGCACATGGACCAAAGATGTGAAGACCTGTTCAGGAAACTGTAGGTATAGTCCGAGAGAGGGGGAGTGGAACCTGGACCAGGGTGTCAGCACAGGGGATCAAGCCATTTGGAAAGAGTCCAGAGATGTGCTGGAAGTGGACACAGCAGAACCTTGATTGGAATGAAGGTGAGGAAGAAAGAGTAGTTAAGGATCACTTCTCATCTAGATTATTTGGTGGATGTTGGTGCCATTGATGAGAATACAGGAGCAGGAGCAAGTGGGCAGAAGGGGGTGGTAGAGGGTTCTGTTTTGAATATGTCCAGTTGAAATGCTAAGACAAACCAGTGAAGATGCTGCTTCAGAAGGCAGACACACCCATCCAGAGAGATTAAACAGAAGAGGATAGATTAGAAATTATAGTTGGCTGCTGAGACCATGAAGGTGGGCAATATCACCCAGGAAATTTTATGCAGAAACAAGAAAAGAGGTTCCAGCCAGAGCCCAGAGGAAGGCTAGCAGAAAAGGGAGTGGAGGAAAGGAGCCTCCAGGAGGCTCGAGAGCTGCTGAGGTCCATGGCCTTGGGCCCTTCCTTCATCTCTCCAGCCTCAGTGGCCTCAACTATAAAATAAGGGCAAGACTCTATGATCTGTAAGGTTCCTTCCTGCTCTCTGATCCCTTAAGATGGAGCATACAAGGATACATGTGGATCACTAAAAAGGGTACAAGAGGAAATAACTGTCAATCTAGTGCCAGGCACGGTGGCTCACGCCTGTAATCCCAGCACTTTGGGAGGCCGAGGCAGGCAGATTATGAGGTCATGAGATTGAGACCATCTGGCCAACATGGTAAAACCCTGTCTGTACTAAAAATACAAAAATCAGTTGGGCGTGGTGGAGCGCGCCTGTAGTACCAGCTACTCAGGAGACTGAGGCAGGAGAATCACTTCAGCCCAGGAGACAGAGATTGCAGTGAGCCAAGATCATGCCACTGCGCTACAGCCTGGTGACAGAGCAAGACTCCATCTCAAAATAATGATAATAATAATAATCTAGTGCCAACTTAATGCAGGAAGAATGACAGATGGGGAACTGAAATAATAATCAGACACAGGTGGCATTAATCGGGAAGGTTTGCTGGATGAGGCTAGCTTGTCTGAAGTGACTTAGAGACAGTGGTTGATTTGCCTCTACTTGAATCATCTGGAAGTCAAGTGAAAGGCCTATTCACTAATTTGACTCTGGGTAATTAATGTCTGTGAATGCAGAAAATCAGATGACAGACAGTCTGGGCCACAGGCTTTTCTAGACCCTCTTTCCCATAAGAAGTCTCTTACCTGGGACGTGACATGAAAGATGCTTTGTAGAGGTAATGAGCATATAAACTTGCTATCAGAATGACTGATGCTTTTCTCAGGTAACTGAGATGGTAACACTAATGGACAGTGACTTTGGGAAGATAAACAGGGGACCTTGAACTGCACACTTTGGCTTTCTTTATCTCGGTTTGGGGGAAAGAAGCATAATACTAACAGAGCAATACGCTAGGAAGGTGAACTGCCAATAACACTGGAAGACAGAGTAAAGATGATGGGGTTAGTAAGGGATTGTGGCAAAAGTCCACAAATGAGAATGCAAGGTTCTCAGTCAGAGGTGTAGGAAAAGGAGGAATGAGGCAGGATGTGGTGAAGACATTAGCACAAACCAAGTGGGAAGGAAAATATAGCCATTTAGAATAATCTTCAGCATTCACCTTAAGATATGCACCAAGGTGTCATATGCATCAAAGATTTAAATGTAAAATATAAAATAATTTTTTAAATCTCAAAAAATATATATTAAACATAAAAGCATAACTTGTCTCCAAATGAGGAGAGATAATCTAAGCACGAAGGCAAAAACAGTTATGAGGGGAAAAATGTCTACTAGGTTTGATTGCAGAAAAATTTAATTCTTGTGTTTATTAAAAAGTGTATGTTGGCTGGGTACATTGGCTCACAACTGTAATCCCAGCACTTTGGGAGGCCAAAGGGGGCAGATCATGATGTCAGGAGTTCGAGACCAGCCTAACCAACATGATGAAACCCCATCTCTACTAAAAATACAAAAATTAACTGGGCTTGGTGGCACCCTTAATTCCAGCTACTTGGGAGGCTGAGGCAGGAGAATTGCCTGAACCTGGGAGGCGGAGGTTGCAGAGAGCTGATATTGCACCACTGCACTACAGCCTAGGTGACACAGCAAGACTCCATCTGAGAAAAGAAAAAAAAGAGTATATGTTTCCAGGCCTGGTGGCACATCCCTGTAGTTCAAGCTACTCAAAAGGCTGTGTGAGAGAATTGTATGAGGCCAGGAGTTTAAAGCCAGCCTGGGCAACATAGTAAGACACTATCTCAAAAACAACAAAAAAAGAAAAGATAAATAATATATGATGTGTAAAATACACACATACACACACACACACACACACACACACAATAAGGTCCTGTAGTGTCCATTTTTATATGTATATAAAAAAGTAAAAGCAAGTGACAAACTGGAGATTCCAACAAATGTAACAATAAAATGGCTAATGTAATCATTCTTACCAAAAAAAAAAAAAAAGACAAAAAGAAAAGGAAAACATGAACATCACAATTTTAAAACTGGGTAGTTGGGCACGGTGGCTCACACATGTAATCCCAGCACTTTGGGAGGCTGAGGCAGGTAGATCACAAGGTCAGGAGTTCAAGACCAGCCTGGCCAAGATGGTAAAAGCCCATCTCTACTAAAAATACAATTGGCTGGCGCAGTGGCTCACGCCTGTAATCCCAGCTCTTTGGGAGACCAGGACAGGCGATCACAAGGTCAGGGGTTCAAGACCAGCCTGGTCAACCAACCCGTCTCTACTAAAAATACAAAACATTAGCTGGGCATGGTGGCGGAGCGCCTGTAATCCCACCTACATGGGAGTCTAAGGCAGGAGAATTGTTTGAACCCGAGGGGCAGAGGTTGCAGTGAGCCAAGATCGCGCCACTGCATTCCAGCCTTGGCAACAGAGTGAGACTTCACTTCAAAAAGAAAAATGGGTAAGTGATAAACAATTTACACAATGACTTTATAAAATATTTTTTAATTTCAACTTCATTTGTAACAAAAAATTCAGACAATAAAACATAATTTGGTTCCTATCAAACTTACAAAGAATTCCTCAAACAATTTTCAGTGTCAGCAAAGTTAGGATGTGAAGACCACTCTTAGGTGGCCTCTATAAGACAGTCTTTGAGAAGCTCCATTCTTTCTTTTAAATCACAGTCCTCACTAAGTGTTGTCCTCTTAGATCCACTAATTCCATTTCTTGAAGCTTATACTAAGGAAATAATCAGAGACATGGATAAATATTTTGGTAAGGGACATGTGTTACTCCATTCTCATGCTGCTAATAAAGTAATACCCAAGACTGGATAATAATAAAGGAAAAAGGTTTAATCAATTCACAGTTTCACATGCCTGGGGAGGCCTTACAATCCCAGCACTTTGGGAGGCTGAGGCAAGTAGATCACAAGGTCAGGAGTTCAAGGAGGAGGTGAATGTGGGGCAAAGTCATGTCTTACATAGAGACAGACAAGGAGAATGAGTGCCAAGTGAAGGGGAAATCCCTTATAAAAGCATCAGAACTCATGAGACTTACTCACTACTATGAGAACAGTATGGGGGAAACCAACCCCATGATTTAATTATCTCCCACTTGGTCCCTCTCACAACAGGTAGGAATTATGGGAGCTACAATTCAAGATACAATTTGGGTGGGGACACAGCCTAGCCATATCAGAACATTAATTGCAGTATTGTAATATTAGTAAAAAATGCAAAGCAATGTAGAGGTCCAATATTGGGATAATAATTAAATAAATATAATGGAACACTTAAAATATATGCAGCAAAGGTGTTTCATGATTTATTTTTGACCTGATAAAATATTCATGATGTAGTGCTGAATAAAATTTTCATGAGGTAGAACTGATGATCCCCCCCAAAAAAACAAGTCGTGTATGTACACATATACACAAATACATAAAAGACTAGATTTTTAAAAACACCAAAACGTTAATAATTTCCATCTCTATGTGATAAGATTATGGGTAATTTTTATTTTCTTTAGTGCAAATTTTTCAAATTTCCCATAATTATTTTCAATGTATATTACTTTTATATATATTTTTTAAATTATTATTTTTCACTGGAGCCCTGTCAATGAATCAGAGACTTTTTCTCATACCCAGGAAACAGGTCTGAATCTCACTTTCCTGAAAACTCTCTTCTCACGAATAACTCTGGACTTAACGCGAAGGGGAACTAGAGCGAGCTTTGGAGGAGTGGCTATATGTTTGTGGTATAAGAATAGCATTATACGAAGGATTTTAATTCCCCAGTAGCTTGAAGAAAACATTACTGTCATTGATAAAGTAAAGAAACATTAAGAGGAAGAATAACAACCCACACTGTCTTGTAAAAATTAGTGAGCAAATAAATTCATTTGATGTAACTGTTTCTAAACAATGTTACAGTGACATATCCTGGTATGTTAAAGAGTGCAAACTGCACAAAACTGAAGTACAAATGTAAGTTAGACTAGGAAAATTCCAGAATTTATCTATTCATCCATACTTACAATTACTACATGTTTATTGAGTTCCATACCAAGAACTAGACAGTTAAGGAATCAACAGTGATCAAGATGCCACTATGTTCCTAGCACCTATCCAAATTATTGAAGAAATGAAGGTAAGGTTTATATGGGTTTGAAAATCTAGGAGATTCAGGCAAATAAATAGGCAATTGCATTGCTGTTAAATAAGTACTATGAAGGGAGGAAATATAATATTATGCAGGAAAAACCAGCTAAAACTTGGGTAATGGAAGCATCAGCAAAAGCTTATAAAATAAGTAAGGTGTAAGATCTAAAGTCAAGTAGGAATAACTAGAGCCAGACAAAGAAAGTTGAGAGAGGAGAGTCCAGGCAGAGGGAACAGCATGTGCAAATGCCCCAAGGCAAAGAGAACATGGAAACTAGTCAATATGATTGGTTCTTATTGGTAGTGATGAAGTGGTCAGGAGAGATGCTGTGTGTGTTGCAAATATTAAGAGGTTGTAGACCGGGCACGGTGGCTCACTACTGTAATCTCAGCACTTTGGGAGGCTGAGGAGGGTGTATCACCTGAGGTCAGGAGTTCGAGACCAGCCTGGCCAATGTGGTGAAACCTCATCTCTACTAAAAATACAAAAATTAGCCAGGCAAGGTGGCACATGCCTGTAATCCCAGCTACTTGGGAGGCTGAGATAGGAGAATCACTTGAACGTGGGAAGTGGAGGTTGCAGTGAGCCGAGATCATGTCATTGCACTCCAGCCCAGGCAACAAGAGCAAAACTCTGTCTAAAAAAAAAAAAGAGGCTGTGCTAGAGAAACAAATAGAAATCAGATCTTGCAAGCCTTATAAGGGGTGACAGATAGTTTTCTGTCCTGGAAAAGATGACAGATTGGGCTCACTGAGATGGAGGGCACAAGGAAAGCAACCAGTGTTAGGGAAGGACAAGGTGGAGGTGATGAGTTCACTGTTGATCATGTTGACAAGGGGTGGCATAGTCAGCAGTCAGATGTGTGTCAGGAGAATCTGGGTAGAGAAATGCCCTTGTTAGAGACTGGCATGGCTGGTAGAAGTCACCAGGATGTTAGAGACTGGCATGGCTGGTAGAAGTCACCATGTTGGAGACTGGCATGGCCGGTATAAGTCACAAGCCTATTAGAGATTGGCATGG